CGCTCAAGATCCTCAAGCAGATCGGCGCCTACGCCGATGCCGAGAAGGCCAAGAACTCCGTCGCCATCCGCCCCGGCAAGGGGAAGATGCGCAACCGCCGCTACATTAACCGCAAGGGCCCGCTCATCGTCTACGGCACCGAGGGCTCCAAGGTCGTCAAGGCCTTCCGCAACCTCCCCGGTGTGGATGTCGCCAACGTCGAGCGCCTCAACCTGCTCGACCTCGCCCCCGGTGGCCACCTCGGGCGCTTTGTGATCTGGACCGAGAGCGCGTTCAAGAAGCTTGAGGAGGTGTATGGGAGCTTTGACGCGCCGTCCCAGAAGAAGAAGGGCTTCGTTCTGCCAAGGCCCAAGATGACCAACGCTGACCTGGGCAGGATAATCAACTCTGACGAGGTGCAGTCTGTGGTGAAGCCACTCAACAAGGAGGTGAAGCGCAGGGAAAAGCGGAAGAACCCGCTCAAGAACATGGCTGCTGTGCTCAAGCTCAACCCCTACCTTGGCACTGCCCGGAAGATGGCCACCCTTGCTGAGGCTGCCCGTGTCAAGGCCCGGAAGGAGAAGCTCGACTCCAAGAGGACCAAGCTTAGCCCGGTATGATAATTTGCTCTCTTACTTTTCTGTTATGAGTACTGGATTTGTTAACTTAGATGGGATCTTTTTAGTTCAGTAGTTTGTGGTTTGATTATTACTGGTGAGGCCTAGTACAGTTTCTGTTCTATCTGCTGTCTAGTGAATACTGGTGTGTAGCTTTAACCTGTTTGCTGTAGCACATTTGTGATAATGTTGCAAGTTATGCCATGCTTTGCGTTAACTAGTTACAGAACACCACGCATGAATTAGTCCATTTCATATGCTTTTGCAGTAGTGGTTCTGTGAGTCTAGTCATGTGTATTGGTTTAATGTTGTATCCAGAATTACTCTATGTTGTTCTGTACTGTACAATTGATAGATAATTTACTAGCTCAGTGTGTTTGTTGTCCATGTTAAGTTTTGTTAGGCATTTTGTGTTACTTGTATTATGTTTCTTTAGATGGCTGGAGAAATGCTAGTAATATACTATTGTCCTACTCTTGTAAATATTTTGTGATCACTCTTGGCTTTGGGTGATCTAAATGTGTAACCATTCTAAGCATGGCGGTTGTTTCTGTTGAACATATTAGTTTGATAGCTCTTGTTACCTGCTGAGTTTTTGCTTTGAACTAGTGACATTTGGACATCACTACTATGTGATTGAGATTAATATTTTAATCATTTGGAATGTTAGTTATTACAATGAATGCTATATGATGGTTTAAATTATTCCCCAAATTTCCTGAAATACCCCACATCCTAGCGCCATCTGGCCAAATTTGTTTTGACTGCATAGGCCTATATTTGTGTATGGTCAGTCTTGTTCAGAATTCAGATTATTTGTTTCAGTCAGCACTTGAAAAGACATGACTGATCCTATCGCTGTTGATTCACTCTGTATATATCAGAAGCATCATTTGTTTTGTTGATAACCATGTACCTAACATTACATGTTGGTTTGTTGTAGGAGGAGGCTACCAAGGTCAAGGCTGCGGGCAAGGCATGGTACAAGACCATGATCTCAGACAGTGACTACACCGAGTTTGAGAACTTCACAAAGTGGCTCGGCGTGACACAGTGAGCGGCGTGAGATCTAGTTAAGTTTTGAGTAGTAGTGTCACTGAACCTGTCTTGAGAGGAAAGAGGATCTATCATCTGTTTTATCCTGCATCATAACAAGTTACGTACCCGTGGGATTTTGAGACTTAAGTCTGCATATTCGTTTTGTTTGTCCATGGTCGTGCGAACATAGTATTTGCATATTCGGAAGTTATCTGAATTATGCTTTGGATTTGTGCACTTTGTGTTGCTTTCTGGCAACCGTAACTGAATCCTTCTATCTCTGTGCTGTGCATAGTTTTCAAGGCGTCGCCTAGGCGACGCCTTGGCGTCCAGGCGTACCCAGCTTGCCTGGGAAACAGTGGCGCCTTGTGGCCTAGGCGTCCAGGCGTACCAAGCACTCGCCTGGACGCCTAACCGCCTTTTAAACTATGGTGCTGTGTTATTGCGACTGTTCTGTTCATGATGCTTGTGGTGCAGTGCTGTTTGGCTTTGTAATATTTGGCTGCGGGATCCCTGGTTGGGGTTGATATTGGTTGCCCCACTGTTTTAGTCTTGCTCAGTCCAAAATCGTTTGTCCAATATATGATCATCTGTCCTGGCAGATGTTCTCAAAATCAAGAGTCCCTCTTGTTCAGTCCAAAATGATAACCCGCGTTTGTACAATAATAACAATCATCTGTCCTAGTATATATATAATGTTCTCAAATCAAAAGAGTATAGTATGATAGCCGGCTGCCGCCGCCGCGTGCGCCCTCTCCGTCCAGCTCCGCCGCACGTGCCCGCCCTGTGTAGCTCCACCGCGCTTGCCCTCACTGTCAAGCTCCATTGCTTCTCTCTTGTTGCCGCTGCAGCGCGCACCCTGCTGCACCCTCCCCGTCCAGCTCGACCGTGCGCGCCTGCGTTGTACATATTCTTGGTAACAATTTCAAAGATCTTCTCATTTCTGCCCATTATAAAGTATTGCATCAACATAGTTTTTGATGCCTGAACACTACAACTTTGTACTGCATATATCACTATTATAAACAGAAGAGAAAGACACAATTCATGTTTCTTGCACAAAAGTAAGGACCTTTCCTATTGTATCTAATACTTTTCAGGGATCACTACTAGTGCCCATTTGCTGGCCATCTCCCTCAATACTTGTTCCTCCAGTTTTCTTGATTGGCCTCCCCTTTTTGGTGCTAGTTGTTGATGGCTTCCTCTTCCTTGTTGCTGCTGCCATCCCTGCCTTGGTGCTTGTTTGCCATTATACCCTGTGTCACTGCCTGTGCTCATTTGCCATTACCATACCGTATTTTTTTTTCATGCGCTTACCACAAGGACAAGCATACGCTATTAATACCGAAGGATGGAATAATAATGTAACACATGGTTAATGTGTCACGATTGCTCTGGCGGTTATATATAACTTTAAAAGCTAATCAACATATTCACATTATCGCAGTCCCAGCCATTCAGTTCACTTTCAGTCTCCAGCCAAGCATTTGAGCAAATGCAAGGTCGAGCATCTGCTAGTCTGCAATAAGGTTTTAGACTTTAAAGAAGACAGATGCAACATAAAGGGTTTACTGAAAAAGAAAGAACAGAGCACTCCTTACACTGAAGTTCCGCTCACGAATGCTGGGCCTTCCTAGCAGGTTGCCATGCACCAGCGCAGCTAGCAAGTAGATACCCTCCAGATCCTGCAGTTCTTCTTCGGAGGTATCATTCACTCAAATTAGCTCTTAATCAGTCACATGAACAGTCTAATGTGTCAGGGCAGGTTCAAGCAATTCATGATAGCATGGTTCACTATCCCTCCTTTTCTGAGCTCATCAGCTGAACACCATGTTAGGGTCCGCTTGAGAGAGAACTAAACACTACAATACTGCAGTTTTGGTTTTGTTTTGGTTTGGATTCCTGCCTTCCTAAATAGTACCTTGATTGTCTCAAAAAAAGTCCCTTTGATCAAACATGAACTTTGCAAGGCCTAGGCAACTCATGCTAACATGATTCAATGTTTATTTTAGCAAATTAGGTGGAATATCGTGTGGCAATGGCAGCGTTGCAATCTCCGAAAGAAATCCTGTTTCATGTCTGGGTACTGCCGGACAAAACGTCGCTCAGTATAATATCTTTTCCTAATATATACGTTATGGATGGTCTAGAAAGAAATGGTGGCAATGCAGGGGAACAGTATGAATGAAGGCACATTTCTGAATTCCTGGAGTTCTTTCAGAAAGCACAAGCACATCATGTAGGCCTCTGGGGCTGTGAGACATGCAAACACGTTATATGGATGCTCTGGACAGAAAGAAATGGTGTCAATGCAGGGGAACAGTCTGACGGCACACTTCTGAATTCCAAGAGTTTTTTTAGGAAGCACAAGTACATCAAATACATCATGTAGGCCTCTCAGGAGCAAGCAACACTAAAGGTTCTGTCCATGAGCAGCAATGTAGTGAAGGAGGGTGGGGATTTATATCGCTGGTGAAGGAGATCACCTCACTTTGGTTAAGCTGTGGCATCAAGAGCTCGCTATATTCAGCTTCAGCATGCTAGTAGCCACACTCTTCAAAATCTAACAAAGTGTGCACATAAGCTATATTGGCGAGAGCATAACTTGCTTGTTAGCCCTTTTTTTTACAGTGGCCAGACCTTGTCTTGTCGGTAACTATTCCCTCTGTTCATCTTTGGTATGCTTTCATTGTGCTTTAAGCTATAACTAGTTCTTCGAACCTGAGGAAGATCACCTTGTATTTAATTAATAACTTGTGCCGTAAGCATCCTTGTAGACTTGATTCTCAAATACATTAACTAGTTCCGGTTGGTGTAACGACTTCTAAAGCTTTGAGCAAGACTGCCACACTGAAACAGTGACAAGAAGCTTACACAGTTACACTTGGTCTACACATGTTTTAAAATCAGAGGAGTTTACACTTGGTCTACACAGTTACACTTTGAGCAAGACTCAGGACCAGGTCTTCTTGAACTCCTAAGAGTAGAAAAAAGAAAATACAGTTTCTTCAGCAAATATAAAGGCTATTGATCTAAGAAAAATAATGCCTAAGGACGCAGGCAGATATAAAGATAGCCCTCATATTGAAAGGAGTCCCCTCATACATATCCTACAGAAAAGATCAAACTTGCACAATTCGTAACACTGAAATTTAAAAAGACAAGATCTACAATACTACAGGGTAGATAAGAAACTTTACCTTAACTTCGCCAGATTGATGACACATCCAAGTCATCTTCAAGTACAACTAAGCACAACATAACACGTCCTGATTAAGGTTAAGACTCTGTTCTCTATTGAACCCTTTTGGCCATCTGCAGCTTGAGTTCCACCCCAATGGCAGTCCTTCAATTCTGAAATCACACTCACAGTTTTATATTTTCTGTGATAGTGTCAGTCTTATCAGCCTTGCTCAACATTTCTCTGAACAGAGTTAATATATCCTCTATCCTGTCATCTTCACAGCAGCTATCAATCAAAGTCTTACAGGTAACAACATCAGGTTTCAATCCCATAGAGACCATGCCATCAAGTAAAGTATTAAAGGTAACAGCAGTGGGTTTCAAGCCAATCAAGAGCATATCATCAAGGAGCTTGATCACTTTGCCCACTTCACCAGCAATGAAATATCCATGAATCATTGTATTATAGGAAACAACATCAGGTTTAGCTCCTGCACGTGGCATCAAATCAAAGAGTTTTTGGGCCTCCGTAACCTTTCCTTCTTTGAATAGCTTGTCTATCATTGCACTGAACACATTGACATCAGGAGGATTGCCTCTATCCATCATTTCATAAAATAGTTCCTCAGCCTTCTCCCATTTGCCGTACATAGAAAAACCATGAATTAGGGTTCTAAATGTTATGATATTGGGAGACAATCCATCATCAATCATCTGAGAAAATTGGGACATTGCATCGTCCAGCCGACCAATCTTGCAAAGCCCATCTATTATCGTCCCATAGCTGACTATGTCTGGCATCAATCCGAGCTGCTGCATTTGGTTAAATGTAAGGATTGCATCATCTAGCATTCCACATTTACAGTATGCATACATCTGTATGTTGAAGACACGACGGTCAGGTCGCATTCCATTTTGTACCATCAGATCCTTGATATTGTTCATTTCCACAAGATTGCCTTCGGTAGCATACCCATGAAGCAGACTTCTATAGGTGGTAACATTGGGTTTTTCACTGCTCTGAATCATAGAATTAAAAATCTCTCTAGCTTCTGCATGCCCTACAGATTTGCAAAGACAGTCTATCAGCATATTGTAAGTAACAACATCTGGCCGTTGCCCATATCTGGACATTTGTTTGAGAATTCTGACTGCCTCTTTCCACTGTCCTGAAGAGAGGTATCCATGGATCAGACTGCTATATGTAGTGCAATTAGGCATAATATGTTCGTCAATCATCTGCTGCAGGACCTCCTCGGCCTTGTCCATTGCATGAACCTTGCATAGGCCATCAATGATTGAGCGGCAAGTCACAACATCTGGCGGGATCCCATGATCAAGCATTTCGCGAAACAGGGTGTAAGCTTTCTCCACCTCATTCTCTTTAAAGAAGCCATGGATTACGGTGGTATAAGACACCGCATTAGGTGGGCAGTCATTTCCATCCTCAGCCATCATGTGGATCAGCTCGACAGCCTCTTCACATTTCTTCTCATCAGATAGCCCTTTGAGAAGTGTGGTGTAGGAGAAGACATCAGGGGTGCAGCCAAGCTCAGGCATCCGTCTGACCACAATATTCACTGCATCACCCGTCCTCTTCTCTGCGCAGAGGGTCCTGAGCAGGGGCGTGAAGATGACGGGATTTGCCCTCAGTCCCGTCTTAATGATTTGGCCCAATGCGGCGAAGCCGAGGTTCAAGCAGCCTGCATCGCAACAGCAGCTGATGAGGATGCCGTCGGTAGCTGTGGTTGGAGCCACCTTCTTGGCGCCCGCTCGGGCCATGCGGTTGAACATGGACACGGCGAGTGCAGGGCCGTCACGCACGGTGGAGGAGACCGGGGCACGAGCGACGGTGGTGAGGAGCTGGGTGAGGGTGTAAATGGAGCCGGGCCTCGCTTGAGGAAGCAATTCGTCGAACAGATCGAGTGCATCCTCGGGGCCGAGGTCCCCCGAGCGGTAACACTCTCCGATGAATTGCTCCAGCTCCCAGGAAGGGCGGCGGTCGGCCCTCCACACGTCCGCCGCTGCCGAAACGGCCGGTGGTGGGGAACGCCTTTGGATTGAAGGGAGCACCTCGTCGCAGAGTTGGCGCGCGGCCTCAGCGCTGAGGATTCCAGAGCGGAGGCGCCGTCCAATGATCCGCTTCAGCTTCTTCAGCCAAGGCGGGCGCGTCCGGCTAGACATGGTCGGCGCCGTCGCTCCGATTCGGTGGCAAATGCTGCTCGCACTGGAATGGTGCGCACAGCACCGGAGGCGGCAGTGTACTGGCGTGGAGTGGGGAGCGAATCGAAGCTGCGCGTGGGCTCTCTCTCTGGTGGGATGGTGCGCACAGCTGCCTTCGTGTGAGGCGTGAGCCAACTGAGGCAGGAGATGGTACGCACAGCGCGGCGGCGGCGGCGGAGCTGGAGTGGGGACGAGGCTGGGCGTGAGCTCTGGTAGTGGTGGCGAGCTGCTGCCCCTTCGCGTGAGGCAACTGAGCCAAGAGGAGAGGACGACTGATCACGTGGCTTTGACCGAGTATAAATCTGGAGAGTTTTTTTCTTCAAAAAACAAAATTAGTTTGACTGCCAAACAAGTTTACTACTCCATCTGTCCTAGAAAGAAAAATGTAAATTAGGTGCATTCTTGATAAAAAAAATGTCCAAAGTGTAACCAAATATATAGATAAAAATTATTAATGTTTTTGACACAATAAATATATTATAAAAATATATCTCATACTTATTTAATGTCATAACTATTTATATTTTTTTATATATAATTGGCCAAATTTGATATAGTGAAAACATGACATTATTTTATAATTGCATTCTTTCTGGGATGGAGAGAGTATATTATATATGGACCTTACTACTCTCTCGTGCATAGGCGGAGAAATATCCGCTCGAACGCCTCACGCCCTGCACGCTAACTTCTTCCTTGCCTCGCCTTCTTCCTCCACGCTCCCCCCGCCGCCTCCTCACCTTGCTCGGCTCCGGCACCCTCCTTCGACGCCGTCCTCGACCCCCCCCCCAACCCGGCTCCGGTTCCTTCCTCCAAATTACCCCACCTCCCCTGCTTCCCACTGCCCAGCTCAACCAATTAAAGGTTTTAAATGGCTAGAAGGGGTGAATAACCTATAAAAATTCTACAACAACACTTAAGCCAAGTGGTTAGATAACTAAATAGCATAAAGCAAGTTTTGCGCTAGCTCTGAAAAATGCGAGCCACATATCCACAATTATAGTTATCTATGATCTCTATGTCAAGTAAAGGCCAAGTCACTACAAGCTAAGTTAGTGAGCTCTCAAAGACCAGACTAAAGAGCATCATTAATCAAACTACTCAACAAACAAGCTAGCTCTCAAAACTAATTTACACTAAAGAGCTTAGCTACACTAGAATGTAAATACAAGAGAGTGAGTGAGATAATTATATCGCCGCGGCGAGAGACAATGAACCAATCAATGAATACCAAGAGAATCACCGGGAGAATCACAATTGATACAAGATTTTTCTCCCGAGGTTCACGTGCTTACCGACATTCTAGTCCCCGTTGTGTCGACCAACACTTGGTAATTCAGCGGCTAATAGGTATCACACACCTAGCCCACCACAAGGGCGCCGCAAGAACCTACCCACAGGTGAGGTAACTCAATGACACGAGCAATCTACTAGAGTTACCTTTCGGTGCTCTGCTGAGAAAGGTACAAGACCCCTCACAATCACCGAAAGATGGCCACGAACAATCACTAACTCGTACCAATGCTCCTCCGCTGCTCTAAGCTGTCTAGGTGGCAGCAACCAGCAAGAGTAACAAGAAATCCGTAGCCACAACGATCCCCAAGTGCCATTAGATACAATCACTCAAGCAAATGCACTCACTCCCAATCTCACAAAGATGATGAATCAATGAGGTAGATGAGTGGTAGGTGTTTGCTTAGACTCACAAGAATGTATCATTGATGAAAATGTGCAAGAGAGTGAGCCAAAGCCGAGCCCTTCTATTTATAGAGCCCTCAAGACTCAGAGAGCCATTGGGAGCTCGTAGACATGACCGAACGCACTGATCGAATGCTACCCTGCGTCCGGTCGGCCGAGTCCGATCGCCCGATGCCTGCCACACGTCCCTCCTTTGAATCTCGCGCGTTAGATCTCAACGGTCACTTAACGTCAGTGTTCACCTAAACGGCCTAAACGACCGTTTAAACGGCCAGTAAACGATAAACGGTGGTAAACTATTTTGTTTAGGAGGTAAATAGAAATTAAACGGATGACCGTTTAAACGGTCAAAAAATAGGAAAAACGGTCTAAACGGCCTAAACAGAACGGAGATAAACAACATTAAACAGGCTAAACAGCTATTTAAACGACTGTTTGGCGAATATGAGGTAAATCTAGTTTAATTTTGTATGGATAAATTTGTATACTTACGTTTATTGTATTTATAAATGTGTACACTTGATATGTTACATGCATAAATATCTATATTTGGTTCTTTTCACTTGCATAAATATATATACATACCAAAATAATTGATTTTTACTCGGATAAATATGTATAAATGCTAGAATACTTGATTTTTTACATGCACATATATAATTATATGTATTTTTTTTAAAGTATAAAACCGTTTAGACCGTTTAACTTCGTTTAAACACCGTGTAAACAGCCTAAACGCTAAACGAAGGGTGACCGTGTAAAGTCCGTTTACCGTTCAGGAAAACATTGCTTAACGTTCACTCGCGCTGTTAAAGTGTGACCGAACGCTATGAAGAAACGACTATACACGCCACCACATGGAGTCCGGTCGTTTCCATAAAGCATCTAGAGAGCGTTTCTGAAGACCGGACGCGCCCAGTCAGAGACGACCTGACACGCCCAGCGTCCGGTCCTTCCCTCTCAATCTCGCGCGCGTCTCAGTGCCAAGACCGGATGTGGGAACAGTATTTCCCGCGCGTCCGGTCACGCCATGTCGCCAGCATCCGATCGCAAGGCCGAGTAGCTCCTCTGCGCGCCATGACCTGACGCCGTGCTCGAGTCAGGTCCAGCGTCCAGTCCCAACTCGACCCTCTCGGTCGAGCATTGGTCCACTGACCGGACACGCCTGTCTAGACTCCGATCTCTGCGCAGACAGAGTCTGGTCACTGACCTTCGCCTCCTTTTCTTTTTCTCTCTCCTCAAACACTTCGCTCTTACTTCCAAGTTGCTAACCACAATGTGTATAACCCACGTGCACATATGTTAGCATTTTCTGAGCATTTTTCAAGGGTTAATTGTTAGTAAACTAGGTCCCTAAATGCATATACAATTATGACTTCACCTAGTGGCACTCGATAACCACTTAGCCAAAGATTTTCCCTCTTTATACTACGGCTATCGATCCTAAATATGATCACACTCTCTATAGTGTCTTGATCACCAAAACAAAAACTTATTTGATACATTTGCCATGATCAACACTTAGTTTTTATTTTTCTCTTTCTTTTTTTCCAAGTTGGAGCTTGATCACCATCATCACATGTCCATCTTCACCTCCATGGACTTCACATTGCTCCATCACTTGGTATGTACCAACCTTGCTCAAATCAACACCCATGACAAAGGTTTGTACCTAGGTTTCATCAATTATCTAAAATCAAACTAGGGCTTTCAACCACCACCGGCGGTGGCCTCCTTCTTACCCTCCCCCTCCCGTATATGGCCATGGCGACCTCCAACGACCTCCGGCTATGGCACCCCTGCCCCGTCCTAACCTAGCAACCTCTACCTCCCCAAGCCCCCTAAACCACTCGTGACCTTCCTCCCCTAAATCCCTTCCTTCAAAGGCCGCCAGAGTTAGTGTTGTGGGCAGCGGTGGTGTGATAGCCAGAGTGGGGCAGCATCTTCTTTGTCTCCAGCGGTGTTGCGGCTGTTATATGTGTAACACCCTCGGTGTTACACCATAAATCATCTACTAAAACAGGTCATGAGCATCATGTTTATGTGTTAATGCATGTGATAAAGTGTGTAGATTAATTTCTGTAACTCGAAACGATCAACAACAATGCGAAACGAAAGTTGATTCGATAGTCATCTTATATCACTTAGGGTTTAAAACTAATTTTTATTGAGTAAAAATGCTATAGAACATGTAGGTGATATTTAAATAAAGTTTGAAGTGCAAACTTTGTAGTTGACAGTGAAATACTTGTGGTCAAAAAATGATGTTGCTAGCAAATATTTCCACTAGCTTAGAAATCGCAAATTCAAAACAAATCTAGCTCAAAAACTTAGAAATTTCTAAGTCTGTCAACAGCTAGACATTGCTATGTTTAGCAATTTGTTGTGAGAGATTGGGTTAAGGAGTGGTGTAGTGTTATATCTCGATTTGGTAGTCTCTTGTGCCATCTTGAGCTTGGTGAAGATGGTTTAGGTCCTAAGGCAACTGTTTGGTCATGTTAAGCGCTTTAAAATTCGTGCGCGTCACTATCTCAGGTTGGTTGGCGCCGGGTGCGTGGTCACCACACGGCCTCCTCACGCCACGCACATGGTCGCGCCTCGCATGGTCGAGAGACCCAGGCTTGGCCAAGGTTGGCTGCAGTGAGCTGTTCACCCTGCGCCGTGCTGCTCTGCCTCGCGCTGCCTTCTTGGGTGCCACCGTGGCCGTACTGCGCTGCCGTCGCATCCACACTGCTAACCCTCCTCGTGTCGCGACGCTGCCGCTACCGACACCACTACGACATTATGTTGTGCTGCCGCTCGCCTTGTCCTAGCATGCACGTGGGCTATCTCGGCTGCCCCGTGCCGTCGCCTCACCTTAATGACGCTGCGGCCGCGCATGCCGCGCCCCCACTTGCCTTCACGCGCACATGGTTGGCCGCATTATTGTGTAGCAGGTGCGCAGACGCCGCCTTAGGTTTGGTCAGCCACATCTCGCCAAGGCGTGGACCAGCCGAGCCCACCTGCCGCGCCATCTCTCTCTCTCTCTTTCCGTCTTTCTTTGTCTATTTTTCGCCACCGTCGAGTCATGTCATGGTGAGCCAGAGAACGAGCACCTCTCATCAATTCCTCGTGCTTGCGTCTCTGCCTTCATGTCCCCTCTCTAGCCGACCCCACCCCGCCTTGATTACAACCAGGCCGAGTTCCAATTTTTGGAGCTTTGCCCACCACCGTGCTATTATGAATCATCACCGCCTGCGTCGTCGCCAGCCTCCACCATGTCA